GACTTTTGGGGTCCTGTTTCTGGCTTTTTTCTTAGTTGGTGACCGCTTGATGCACCAATTGTTTGAGCTACTTCTTCAAAATATACCTTGGGAATTTGGTCTTGTCTATCAATAATGTTCTTTAAAGCTAGGAGAACCTGACTCAGATCTCCTTTCATTGAACTTACATTACCCTTTACTTAGTCGAGATCCTCCTTGAATGCAACCTGATTCTCCTTGATTTGTTCCATTACTTTTTGCTGATAGGCCTTTGTTTGATATGAAGGCCAAGGAGGTGGAGATATTTTTTCTACCAATGGTTTAACTAGAGAGATTTGTTTTTGAAAAAAAAATGACCTTTGGTATGAAATGCAAGTGTGCGAATGCATGCATGCGAATGAATATGTATGAACATGAAATAGGTTAAACGTCTTATTCACTTGGGTATACATTTATCTTTTGCTTCTTTTTTTATTTGGTGAATATCTTAAAAATAGATACGTAAATGAGATATGGAAACAAAATGCCTTTATTGAAAGTAACATGATTCAGATATTGAAAGATATTACAATCTTAAACCAAAACTTGTTTGCATGAAATTAAGTAAAGGGAAATCAATCTTCTAGGTGCGCTTGCGGATGTATACTCTAAAATCATCGACTATTGCTTGAGAAAGCTTGATAAAGTCTTCAACATCCTTAGGATCAAGGATATCCCCTTAGCAGCGAGTGAACATCTTCAGAGCTCTTTCGTATAATTTCCCTTTTGTGGCTTTGATTTCAGACATGTTTGGCACATTGACGCAGACAAGTTGTTTCCCTCTGGTATCCATTTTCAAAGATAATCACCAAAATCTTGATTTTATTGCTTTTTGTTTTTTACCCTGTGAATAAGACAAATAAAAGAAACCGGTGGTGAATATATGAAATGTATGAATGCATGGATGCAGGGTTAAGTGACGGGGTTTTGTGATAGGTACCCTTATAAGGTAGGCTTCTTAATTTTGACCTACGTTAGTCTACCCTCCCAAAAAGGTGGCTTCCTTAAGGCTATCATGAATAACACCAGAGGGATAAGGCATAAGGGCCTCCCTTAGGTGGAGCCTCTTTACGGACCGAGATTTTCATCTCAAAGTCGTGAAAGGTCTCGTCATGAGATTTTGGCTAAGGTCGTTACAAAGAGTCATGGGTGACATTCCAAAGTCCTACTCGTCAAGAGGATATCTATTTATAAGTATTCCTTTTTTGTAATTCCACCGACTCTAGGCGAAGTCATCACATAAACTCATAGGGATGATGTATCCCCTAAGCTAATAGACGAACCTTCTTTCTAAGGGTTATTTGAGAATATATTTTTTTGAAACAAAAGTCTCGCCATGCAGTAGATATACAATGATAAAAAAATACAATAATAATAAATGCAGTAAATAGATAAATGCAATAAATAAATAAAGAAAGAAAATAAAAACCCAAAATAAAACCTAAAACTTAAGGTTGAGGTCCCCAGCAGAGTCGTCAGCTGTTGCGACTGGTTTTAAAATGAGAGTCGCCACTACTAGTTCTTATCCTAAGAAAGGGCATCTAATAGGAAACCCTAAATTATAAAATAGAGATTCTAAGATTCGGACTTCATTAGACGAAAGGAAGGTGTTAGGCACCTTTTATCCATCTTATTCTTAAGGATATTAGGTTTAGGTTTAAGTTTCGGGTGAAATGGGGTTTTAATTTTTTAATAGGGGAAAAAGGGGTTTGAATTTTAGTTAGAGGAACTCGCCACTTTTAGTCGTATGCCTACGTATACTCTTAGGAGGAATCAGAGTCTCATTTCATAGTTCGTATGGGTTTGTGTTTTTTAGGGGTTGCAAAAGTATTTTGAATTGCCTCGCATTTTGACGGGAGTAAAGATTGCGGAATTTTGGACTAAATGCGCGACTAGTCAAAATATATTTGAACCCTTTAGCAAAAAGATTTGTTTAGATTAGTTTATTGCAAAAAAGAATTTGATGTTTGTTGAATATTTTTTAATAATATTAATTGTGAAATTTCTTGATTAATGCATGAATGAAAATACTTTAATGCAATAATATAAATAATACATTCATGAGTTTTTAAACAAAATAATTATTCTAAATGATAATAATAAATAATATATATATATATATATATATATATATATATATATATATATATATATATATATATATATATATATATATATATATATATATATATATATATATATATATATATATATATATATATATATATATATATATATATATATATATATATATATATATATATATATATATATATATATATATATATATATATATATATATATATATATATATATATATATATATATATATATATATATATATATATATATAATAACAATTGATAATAATAACAATTATTATAAAAAATAAATAATAATGAAAATAAGAAAAATAATAATAATAAGAAATATATAAATAAATAAAAGGATAGAAATAATGTTGAAATTAGTAGGGGGTGCGTTTTAAGTTGGCAAGTAAAAAGGGTGGGGTGTGAAGAGTTAGGGCCTGAGTTCAGATATTGTATTCAGGCCCAGCAAGTCTGGGGGTGCAAAATGTTCGTTGGTTTAGCAAAATAAGCGAATGGGGGGTGTCAAAACTAATGGGCTAGGCCCACTACACAGTTTGGAGGGGTCCGGGTGATTGAGTGTGTGGCGAGGGTGCATGGGCTTACGATGGACTTGGCCTTATAACCGTCAACCGATGATCAAACGAGCAAGATCAAGGGGTGTACGTTAAATATGGTGATCGCACACGTATGGGATCTAAACTCAATACAAATATTTTGTTTTTACATTTTTTATTATTCATTTCAATCAGCTCTCTCTCTCTCTCTCTCTCTCGTTCTACAACCCTTCCCTAACCTCCATCCCCTTCTCAACCCTAGTGTCCCATGTCTCCGCGATGGCTCAACCCAAACAAACCCCTTCCCGTTGTAAATTGAACCCGCATAACCCCAATATAACAATAGCAACAACAAAAGGAGCTAAGCGCGTTTACCCTTTCGCAATTTCGCTTTCTGAGTTCTTCGAGCTTTCTGTTTTTGATCCTCCATTTCCCTCTTTTACAGGTTATGGTGAGGTAGCGGTGGACAAGGCGACAACAACGGCAACAGCGATTAGGGTTTCATATGTTGAAACCCTAATCATCCTTATTTCAGATCTTCAACAACCTTGGTTCGTTCTTCGCGTTCTTCGTGTTCTTCGTGTTCTTCGTGTTCTTCCCGTCCCCACGTTTTTGTACTCTAGCTTGGTATTTATAGGGCTTGCTTCAAGATTACAGTTATAAATTGTTAGCTTAGATTTGGGAAAATTACAGAAATTAGGGATTGGATTTATTCTGTAATTGATTGATTGATTCAGTTTTACTTCATTTTTTTGTAAAATATTTGATTTAGATTGGATGTAATTTTGAGATTGAGATTTGATTAAATTTCTGTGCCTTTTCTATATATTTGATGTAATATTTTTGGACTGTAAAAGATTTAGTTTTGATACTGAGATTTGTTTTAGTAATAATCTGCACAGTATCCGTTAATTGGCTTGCGCAATTTTCTGGCTTCGATTGCTACAATATCTGTTAGTACCTGCAAACAAACTTTTGGGCCTCATAACAAAATTCCTCCTCAGCCCAACAACAATTGTCGTTACACACATTTTCTTTTAATACAAATCGGACTCAATATTAGGCCCTTTCTTATACAACAAATCTTTTTTGTAAGAAAAAAAACTCTTAATAATTAATACTTAACAATATCTTTTGTTAGTAAGATAAAACATTATAATACACCTCTTTTAACAGTAACAATAGAACATTCTCTTAATAAAATGTTTAAACAGTTATTAAGAACTTAATTATTATTATTGAAATAGTTATCCACATTCGAATCTCATGGGCCATTGTCCAACATGCTTCATAAATAGGCCTACGGATACATGAGTCTTTCTTATTTAGAAAGTCTCACTCTCCTGAACTAACACGCACCTCCCTGTTGACTTGGATTTATAAAAATGGGCCATCATATATTATTGAGTCATCCTTAATTAAACATTTCTCTTTTATTTTTAATCTTGAAAATATAATCGTAAAAGTATGGCAAATTTGGGGTACGACATTGTGGGAAAAAAGAGAAAGAGAAACCGAGTGAGAAGAAAGAAAGAGGGTGAGAGAAAAGAGAAAAGGAAAGAGAATTTGAAACATGAAAAATGGAAACAAAAAATAAAAGAGAGAAGGTATGATGTACTTCCAATGCAATTGGCTATGCCACTTGGCAAAAACATTAATTTTCATTAGACAATACAATTTGATTTAGTGATGATGTACTTCCAATGCAATTGGCTATGCCACTTGGCAAAAACATTAATTTTCATTAGACAATACAATTTGATTTAGTGAATTACATTTAAGGACAAACAACTACCTAACTAAGAAAATTACATGCCACTAAACACCCTAAATTACCCTTCTATCAAAATTTAATTGCACTAATAAATGCACTTAATTATAAATTGCTAAATCAAATTTTATTCTAGCCAATCAGCTTTTCTCATTCTTCCAAGTGGCACCTCTTTTGCAATTTCCCAATTGAAAGTTTACTAATACATGCATTAACCGGTGGGTATTTCCCTCCATACTTTCAAATCTATTATTACCGAGTTCACTCTTTCCACGCTTTCCACTTCAATTTCAAATCCATCTTTCCACATTTCCCCAATATTCTCTCTCTTCTCCCCCCTTTTGTTTTCTCTCTCTCTCCCTCAAACCCTAACAGTCTCCCCTTTCTCCTTCATATATATGACCACCACCGCCTCTAATAAAAAAACCAATTCCATATTCATATTCCTCATCTCACAGGCTTCCTATTAAACCAGTTGGATTTTTGCTTCGATGGGTTTCTATGCATTTCTGTTATTTGATGCACGGTGGCCAATGACTAGATGTGGTACTCTAGCGAGATGATGTGATGCACAAACCATGGCTGCAGATCTGTTTCCGTTTCCCTTCTTCGGGTTAGTTTCGTTTTCTTTCTTTCCACTGTGTCACGTGTTGGACTTTTGGTGGTTTGTATTGTTACCGCTTATGTGTTATTATGGTGTGTAGTGAAAATGTTGTTGTTACTGTGTTGAAATTCGAAATATTTGTTTACAAGTCTTTTGTTTTAAAACCTTATACTTAGGTTGGTTAACTTAACATCTACTAAACCGAAAATGAAGATTACTATACTTGAGTCGTTTATGTTGCTTAACATAATGAGTTATGTATTCACAGGTGCAAAGAAGTCCTGTGAAGTTGTTTTCTCGGTTCTGCGTGATATCCTTGCTGCAAAAGATATCCTTGCTAGAAATGCAATCAATTTCTATAAGATTAACTTTTCTAACAGTGTTGTTAGTACACATAATATTTTACCCCTAAATGTGATTGATGAGTTAGAGAGTGATGTTTCATTTGTTCGGATAATTGGGTTGATAATTCAGGACTGCAAAGATGCCGCGTGAGTTCTCTTTATTGTGTTCGTGTTAATGTAGAGATTTTTTATATTTATATTATGTTCTGAGGTGTTGTGCAATTTTGTTTTAGGCTATTCCTATAAAGCGTTTCAATGACGTTCGAATAACAATTTATATTCTGATTCTAGGTAATGAATACAGAATTTGAGAACGAGTTCTTTCTCTTGAAGAGCCTAACAAGGTATGTTATTCAAAATTATCTTGGGATTTGATTATTAAAATTTACCATGCCAACTATTTATTATAAACAAGAAGAAAACCGTTCAGGGAAGGGAATGAAAAATGGATACGTTTGACTGGATAAGAATTTTAATTATTTCTGTTGCTTCTACAACTTAATCAATTTCACTATCTACTTTACTGACTAACTTTGTACCATTTAGGTTTGAGATGCTAACATTATTGAAACAACATAAGAAAGATTCTAAGATAATAACATAGATGAATACTTCAAAGACAATCAAACAAATATATCGATATTCCATTCAAATCCATTTTAATTTTCTCTACATCTTTACAATCTTGCGCAAGATTTTTACTTCAAATTTTTTCTTGTACTCAACTATGGAATACTCTTGGAGGTTTCAAAAGTGTCTAGATATTACTTAGTTCTTATGTTTAAAATGAAGATTTTATTCTTTACTTTATTATTTTTTTCCATTAAACAAGTTATATACATTATATACATATTTGAAGGAAGTAACATATTTAATGACATTTGTCAAATACATTTAAAAAAATAGAGATTTGATGAAATGCTATGTTGATCTTACCAATTTTTAGTAACTTCTTTTTTTAGTTAGCCAAATTTCTATATAGTTTAATACACATATCTATTGACTTTGATTTGATTTAAGTAGAGATGGATCAGAAATATCATATATTAGGGGTATAACTCACATAAAATATTGTATAAATAAAAACATATTAATAAATTGATAGGTGTTAAATTATCCTTCATTTGCATTTGTGTTAAGTTTTGAAAATGTGATTGGAATACTTTAATGAAGTGCCACATGATACAACCAGTTAAAAAAATAAAAATATATATTATTTTCATAGAGGTTTGCGAAAATAGTTTATGACAATTTTATCAACTCTTGTGAATTTTATCACTGAAATTCACTATTTTCACGAATTATTATCACCACAATACATTTTTATTTTAATCAGCAAAATATTTGTACATATTTATAGTTATCAGTGATATTTATAGTTATTAGTCATACTTGTAAATATTTATAGTTATTAGACATATTAGATTTATCATATTGTTGATTTGTTTAAATATTTATTTTTAAATATTTTCAGTTATTAGTGATTTTATAATGACAATTATATATCACCAAAACCTAATTTTCTCCAATGATCTAAGATGCGAATGAACTTACCCGTGCAGACGCGCGAGTCTTCTACTAGTTTGTAGTATAAAGTAATTACGTTAAAAAGGGTAAATTTGAAAGATCAGAGGTAGTTTCTAATCTTAGTTAGGTAGTTGATTTATTTGATTTAAAGATAAATTTATTTATGATTTAGTTCGATTTTAAATGATTAATTAAAATTTTAATTTAATTCAATTCAATTTCAATAACTTATTGAGAATTGATTCTTAATTATTTAAGTTATAAATTATATTTTTTAATTGAAATTATAAAACATAAAAAAATAATATGTTTGACGTAATACTTCATCCGTCATAAAATAAGTGTCATATTTAGAAAAATATTTTATCCCAAAGTACTTGTCACTTTATATTACCAATATAATTTTATATTTAATTTTCCAATTTTACCTTCTAATAAATACTCTTAATTTATTGTTTTGTCACTTAACATTAATGTTAATTTGAATACACCAATAATTAATCAGGATCATTTAATACAGTTTCTTAATCTGTGTGAAATGGTCAATTGAGACAAATAATATGGGATAAAGGGAGTATATATATTATAATATATTAACAAATAATATTATAAAAAGAAAATGATGGATTATTGTTAGAACGAATGAAATAGATTAATCTAAGGGTATGTTTGGATATTGTAAAACGAATGAAGCGGAACATAATCGGTTTGAATGAAGCGGAATGTAATAAAGATATTGTTTTATTGTTTTGGTATTTTATGACAGAATAGAATAATCATGTCATTCCACTCAAATTAAAGGTTTAAAAAATGATGGAAAGTGTTGTACCCCAAAATTTTCCCTCTCATTTGATCAGACAAATCCTCCTCCTAAGCAATGAACTTCCAACTAGGGTTTCACTTTTCACAAAGAAGTTTGAGTTTAAAAGGTATATGGTTTCCATGGTTTCTTACATGTCCTCAAGAATGCTAATACCAAGTTTCATGCCTTGCATCACAAGTTTGCTCAGTCAATTGATCAGATAATTGAAAATCAACTATATTAGGTCAAAAGTCAATTGTGATCAACATACAGTCAAACTTCAAGATTTTTGGTCAACATAAATATTTTGAGTGATATTCATCATTTGATCAAGGGTTCATAATGATTCCTTAAGAAGAGCTCTCAAATCATCAAGAATCAAAAGTTACTAAATTAGGGGTTCCTAGGAGAAGTCAACTGAACTTTGATCAGGTATAACTTTCACATGCTTCATTCATTTTGCCCCAACCAAAGCTCATTTTATAGGGAATTAAATCCTCTACAACTTTGTTTTTATTCCCAAGTCCAAAAAATGCATCATTGGAAAGATATGAGCCAATACATTACATGTCTTTGTAAGAAATCAACAAAATGAACTTTTTGTCAAGGAAAATTACATCAAGATAAAATCTCTAAATGAAAAAATGATCTAAATAGAGATTGAATAAGACATCTCGGGCTTTCCAAAAAGTCCAAGATCATCTTAAAAAGATAAAAATTGAGCAAGTTATGATTTTCACAAATTGGGAAAATTTGTGAAGATGCGTGAAGTCAACTTTGAGCAAAAGTGCATCTTTGAGTTAATGGACCTATTTTTAGGGTTTAAACATGTTTATGACACACCCAAGTACCTCTAAACCTATCCATTCACTATTGTGATTTTTATTTTTATTTATTTGAATTTTTATTCATTTAAAACCAATAAAGTCAAAACAAAATGCAAGATGGCAGTGCAAGGCATGCAAGCTATTATTTCCATCAAGATTGAGGCCCAAATAGCTCATAGCAAGCTGTCAAATTCGTAAAAACCAAGCAAATACCAGATTTGGACCAAAATCTTCAAAATTGGAAACTTTTTCAAGTGAATTTTGGAAACAAATCATGCACTCAATGCCATGGATTCTTGCTCCTTTTGTTGACCTAATGTGACGTGCTATATATTCTTCACAAGATCATATCACAGCCACTTGTGCAGCTGCCTCTAAAATAACCCTAGAAAAATTCCAAAAAATTAAAAGAGAAGGTGCAACTTGTATTTTATGATCCAACCATTCTCCATCAGAGCCAAGCACTTCATCATACTCCTGAAGGTCCCATGAGTCCATCCATATCATTCTTGAAGCTCGCAGCACCCCAGATCACAGTAACCAAGCGCCACCGGTTTGGTAAGGTTTGATAAATTCAAAATTAATAATGTATGCATTGTTGACATGTTTGATGTGTTGGTTTGTGTTCAGGACATCCATTAGAACAGGTTGGACGTCTCGCATGAAATCTTTGATGCTTGAATCATAGGATGCCATTGTTAGGGCATCAAAAACTGAAACCTTCTAATCTTATAATACATGGACTTTCAGGCCAAACAGACACAACCACTGAATTCGTAGACCCCAAATTAGAGGGGTATGGTCCTTATATTTTCTGTTATGTTTGATTTTTGCAGGTTTGGGATTTTTGGCAAACGGAAGAGATGACCGAAGCCACCATCAACGGTGGCTTGACCGGCGTTGATTAATGCGTGGCAGAGAGGAACAAAATGATTGGTCCATTCAAATACTAGGGGCCTACTCTGGGTGCGCGTGTTTGACAATCATAGATTATGACATGATTTATAATATGTATTTATTGATGCATTTATGCTACCGGATATATGGTCGTCCCAACGGTTGAGACAACGCGCTTAAGACTTTGTGTGTATGCAAGGGCAGGGGTTCGATCCTTGCCCGTGGCATAATTTTTTCTGAATTATTCTTGCAGATCCGGTGTTCCAGGGGAAAGCGCGTATACCATTTGTCATCAGATCATCACAACATAAGATCCAGCGCTCCAGATTTGAGCGCTCGTGATGGATCCTCAGAGACTAGGTGCACTGAATCACACATTGGCTTTAGGTTTGTGTGTTATGGGCCTGGACAATTTTCAATGTGCACCCCCCCCCCCCCAAACAGCTTCACAACATCAGGCCCAATTTCTAATTTCTTTACTCTTTTTTTATTCTATTTTATTTAATTGTTTCATGTTTTTTTAAAACCAATTCTATTTTAATCATAAAATCAGAAAAATCACAAAATGATAGACTTAGGTTTTTTTCTAATTAATTTAATTTTTGGTGAATTTAAATTAATTAATTTAATTATTTTGACTTATTTCATTAATTAAAATTAATTAGAATTAGGTTAAAATTTCAAATCTTTTTCTTAATAAAATACCAAAAATATTTTATCAAATAATTAGATTCTTTAGGGTTTCAAACTTGTTCCCGTTTCAATCTTCGCACGTTTATTATTTTCCGTATTCTTATTTTTTCCAAATATTGTATCTGCTCATAGTTTGTAATAGTTTTAAACTAGGGTTTACTTATTGTCTTTTCCCCAAACTTTTATGGTTTGTATCCTCTTTCCCGAAGCTCTATAATAGTGTAGGACGTTTATTTCTGCTTTACTATTTTACTATTATTATAACTGCTTAGAATAATAGGATTGTATGGCAAGACGTAAAAGAAATAATTAGCTAACCCTAATTGCAAGATAAATGAACCTAATTGAATCACTCACACACTTACACCTCTAGGGTGACCTCTCTCGTTGCCTCGAAAAACCATGGTCATGTCCCTCGAAAGTAGGGATACCATTAGCACAAACCCTCAGTTACAAATCATCATAAAGATCATAGTCCCTCGATGTCCCTCGAAGTTGCCTACGGTATATGATCTTGTCCCTCAATGTTTCCTACAAATACATGATGAT